ATGGGTGTGGTTTGTATAGAGCCTACGCTCTAAACAATCAAATTAGAGCCTACCTTCAAATAGGCCCAAGATATGTGGTTTCAATATTAGAAATTTTTTTGATAGCCTCAAAATATATTTTCATCTTTATTTATAAAGTTTAAACCTTCAAAATTAGTGTAGATCGAGAGATCTATGAAAACTTGAAAATCTTGAAATTTGACGGTCCAAAAATGAGCTCCAAAACACACTATTTCCTAAACTTGAAAATCCATTTTTTTCTCATATTCATGCATCTTGATATCGAGATGATCAATTTCAGGATATTTGGGCATCAAAACAACCTTTTCGAGTGAAATTTTTTAGGTAGGCTCTAATTTAATTGTTTAGAGCCTCAACTCTATATAAAATTTTCCCTACATATATATACAATCTTTTCTTATGCCAAACAAATGAAAATACTAGCACCATAATTTATCAAACATTCCCCCAGCTTTGAAGCTACCAATTTTCATTTGCTTCCCAGAATCTAGAAAAGTTAGTAATGAATCTTGTTGGGCCTTTTAATAAGCTCAGTGCGGTTTATGCCAAAGACGTTGGTACTTGTGAAATGGCTTAGACAACTGGGGTCTTTATTGTTGGAATTTACAATTGGAAGTTGATAATAATTTGTGGACTGTTTGAACCTCACTTCCTGAAAGGTTTTTGGGAATCAATAAAGTTTTCAACTTATGCTGAAATCATAGAATCAGTTGGTATTTGCTTATTTATAGGGCAATTCTTTCAAGATCAGATATAACAGTGCTTCTTCTTCCGTATGGAGGGTTGATTTTGATCCTTTAATCAGCAATTTGCTCCGTATTGTATATGCCAAATAGATGCCCATCGAAGATGCATCCCGATTGTTCAGCTTCATGCCTTACAAAGATCATTTGTGTGGAGATGTTGACTTCACCGTCAGCTAAACAAAGTCGATGATGCAACAAAAACTCGAGATGAGTTTTTTTTCCAACCCGGGGAATATGATACAAATCGCATCCATAATATTTTATTTTAATTTTTTAAAATTAATTATCAATGATTAAGTAGGCTTTTTATTGTTGATTAGTTGAATTATGACTTAAGGCTTGAGGCGGTAAAAAGGGTATTTAGTTATAATTGGGTTAGTTACTATTTTTATGGGGTGAGGAGGTGTAGGTATCAACGAGAAGATATGGATAGGGAGTTAAAGATCTAAAGAGAGATTTTTATGGGAGTGAAGATTTAATAAAGAGATTAAAGTGGGGGAGAGTGAGAGATAGATGTGGTCGAGAGAGTCTATTTTTTGGAGTTTTTGTGTATTTTTAATTGGTTTGTATTTAAGGTGCATAGAGAGTTTTTTATAAATGAAGAAAAGAAAGTTTCTTTTTCATGTGGCTTAATTTATAGCTATATTTCGCCATCTATTATTGTTGAATTTTTGCTTGTTTAAGATCGAAATAAAACCGAATTTAATTTCTCGGACTCTTTTTGCATTTGTTTAGATGTAATATGCTATTAACGTTATTGTGCTTCGATAAAAGTGTTAGGGACGTGTTTATTTGATTTCTTTGATTTGACAACGTGGCTAATAAGACAAAAAATTGTTTCTTCCATATATATTTTTGTGGCTTCTTTTTATGATGGAGTAAGTAAAAAATATATGCTTGAGAGATTATCATGTGCTTTTCTCTTTTAGGCACTCAAAGTACTAAAAATTTCCTCATATTTTACTGCCTGATCTTAGGGCATTGAAACTTTATTGAAGACAACGTTTATGGTTACTCTCACCTAAAGAAAAATATTAGAAAATTATTATTTCAATAAAATAATGATATAATATGGGAGTGATGATATAATATGGGAGTTTTACATAGATATTTCTAATATTTTTCTTTACGTGGGAGTAACCATAAACATTGCGTTAATTTCTCATTGGTGGATCCTATGCTTGCTGCAGGCCTTAACACCTATGTGGTTATGGATATGCTTCTCTCTTATTCCCAACCTCTATGCTTTCTCTTGTCCAACAAGTTTCACCCATATATTTTGCTCTATTGCGTTGTTTACCAAGTTTCAATTTGGGTGTGTTCGTGCCATTTTTAAGCTTTCTTCTATTTTCTTTATTGTAGTAGAGACAAATAGCATATTTTTGCATATTGGAATTTGTGATCTGTGTCAGTGAATTCCTCTATAAATGCAATGATTGGTGAAGAAATAGGTTTAAAGAGAAAAATGTTATACTCCTTATATTGTTTTGGCAATTTTTATTCTTGAATTTATGAAATAGTCTGACATTAAAGAACAAACGAACCATACTTTTTTTCTTGTTATGTTTTTATTTAAGGGTTTGTTAATAAAGTGGGTTTAGAAAAATAAAATAGTTATTAAGTACAACTTTTGTAAAAATGTTAGTTTTTTCTTTTCCTCTGTGTAATAGAGAAGCTGCAAAGAGAGATGTTTTGAAAAAATCTCCATCTGAGGTCAAATAATGCAAGAAACATTAAGAGAGGCTAAGAGAAATTTGAGTTTTTTGAATTTGAACTCTTTGTTTTTATACTGATAGATTCCTAAATAGTAAAAAAATAAAACAAAAGAAAGACAAAAGTGTAGGTCCTCTATTTGATTTTTTTTTTTTTAGAGTACAAACGTCGAGGATTTGACCACTTGACCTCCAACATCTAAACTAATATGTCTAGCACTAAGCAAAGCTCAAGGGACAAAAAAAAGGTAAGGTAAGC